TGAATATATTGAAATATATTTTGAAAATATATTTAAAAAATACATAAAGCTTAAAAATTGTTCCTCATGATACATGTGTACGGACATTCATGCGTTAAAAAAGTCAATGCTATTTCTACACCACGTTTACCATTTCTAAAGCTATTATTATATTATGATGTTATAAATTCTGCGTGACTTTTACGTGCTTTAATGGGAGCGGAGGAAGTCACCATGGAAACGGAGCTGCAGCTCAACTGTGAGCAGCAACTCCCGTCTCTCATTGTTTTTTTTCACTAATTTCAGGTAAGTTTAGTCTCTACAATTACACAAATACTACATACAAGCGTTCATGACACTTTATTTCATGTAAATGACACGCGTCCGTTGAATATTTACTTTATAGAAATGGTTAACGTTAACTGTCTTCGGAAAAAGTCCGTTAGCATCTCAACCGTAAGGCTAACTATAAGGTTAACTAGTTATAGACTTGAGCTCTTCTTTCTGAAAGTTTGGGCTTTTAATGTCATCTTATGTGTAGATGAGCGTTTTTTTTATATAAATGTTTTGCTGGCAATTTGTCAATGGATGAATGGAAGTAAGCTAATTCAATTAACCTGTACAGTTAATCGGATACGGATCCGTCACTTACATAGAGCTGAAAATGGGCTAAAACTTACGTTAATTAAAAGAGGGTTTGATCTTTCATGCTAAACATACTGATACCACTTGTTCTGTGATTTCAGAAGCGAAAAAAAACAACTCTACGACACAGGAGAAGTTCCTGATTTAAAAATTTCTGAAGGGAGCTGCTGACAGAGATAGAAAACACAGGTGATCTGAGAAAGCCTATTAAATAACTTTATATGCATATTTCACAACATCTTTCGCCTAAATCACCATGCATCTGTAATTTTCTTTTGTGTGTGTGTTTGCTTGTTAGTTATTTTAAAAGGGCTTTGATGTCCAAACATAAGTAACACTGTAAGAGCATTACTAAATAAGTAAACCTAAAAATTTACATTCTGTTATTAAATCCTTTTTTGTATATTCTGTAAATTATTATTTTTCTTTTCTGGATTTCGCCTCTGCTGTAGTTTATAATAAACCTGGCAATGGCATTGTATAATAAATATTGTGGACTCTGACAGATTGTTTATGTTCCTAGATTCTTCCATGCTGATGGCCGTGCACTAGAGTTGGAGCGTATCTCCTGTCGAAGAACATACCTAGACATTATGAACCATATGACTAGTAAGTAATACCTCAAACATACACTACCTAAAGTTTAAGGGTCAGATTTGTCATGTGTTTGAAAGAAGTATTTTATGCTCACCACTGCTGCATTTATTTGATTACATTTCAGTAAAACAGTAATATTGTGAAATTACCATTTTTTTATAACTATTTTCTATTTCAGTATGTTTTAAAAAGTGATCAAAGCTGAATTTTCAGCATCATTATGCCTGTCTTCAGTGTCACATGATCCTTCAGAAATCATGCTTTGTGAAAACAAGAATAAATTACATTTTACAATATATTCACATAGAAAACGGTTATTAAATAATAATAATATTTCACAACATTACTGTTTTTGTTTATGATCAAATAAATGCAGTTTTCTTGGTGAACATAAGAGCCTTATTTCAAACTTAAATAACACAAGGGATTTGAATATTAATCCATTTATTCTAATAAAATCCAAGAAGCTCTTAAAAATATTAACATAAATAGTAATTTTTTTTCCTCTGGTGATTTGTATTGTATACCCAGAATGCAATGCACCGAGATGCAGATTCCCATTCTCTATCTCCAAGCTACACACTCTTACACAGTGTCTACACTGGATGCGACAAAGTGAGCGGTTAAAATCAAATTAACTTTGTGTCAGTACATCATAAATAGAACGAGGCATCAGTTTACTGTCAGGGATTTGTGTCGCGCCGCATCCAGTGTAAACAGCATCACTGATTATAATAGGTTCTATTGTATTTTGTTGCGCCGTCCGTTGTAGACACGGTGTTAGAACTTATATTAAATATCGTTACATATGATGTATGTATGATGCCATCCATAATTGATAGAACTTTTTTATTTCAGAGACTGAAAATCATCAATAAACCACAAGGTAATTATAACTTATTTCAAGAATAATAAGAATAACAAGAATAAATAAAAATGCATCTGACTTAATATTGCTTATTTTTCAGTGGGTTGAAAGTTCTCATTAAACACATTGCTTTCTTCTCACCTTTGTGCATTTTCAGATGTTGTGCATATTTATGAATCAAAATGTTTAACTTTATAACATCGTAATATTTGTTGTCTTATTTCTATTTTCAGAGTTTAGCGCCAACCCCAATTAAGCAGACCTGAGCAGCTGATCAAGGATCACCAGAAACTTTGCAGAACGCTGGTCCTCCATGCCCAGGACTGGACACCAGTGTTGTAAGTCATCAATCTAGCA